TTTCTGTATGAATTGCTTGATGCCACATGCGGATAGTCCTTTGCATATATAATTCCTGTCTTCCTGGTGAGAGTCAGCACTTGTGGGATTTGCCTTGTGATGCACAGGGTCTCGAACCATACACTGGCATTGATATATCTCTTTGAGTGAGGGTCATGTTTTCCTTTTTTTTTTTTTTTTTTTGTACATCCTAAAGAGCCCAGGATAGTGTGTGTTGAGAGAGGGTATGAGATAAGAAATTCATTGCACTTGAGAGCAAGATTTGTGACTGATCAAATCATCGAGAAGAGGAAGCTTGAGACCTGCAAGAGGGGGGACTGCCAGCTCTGAGGGGACAGGCTACGAACCACTGATCCAGGTCAGGAGGCATGGGAGACATGGATTCTGCTCCTGGCTTTGTCTCTTAAATATGTTGTGTGACTTTGAGCAAATAGTGTGACCTCCATCATCAGACAAAGGTGTTGGCTAAAGTCTTGTGAGCTCCTACTCCTGTACGATCCTCCAGAGCAAGGGTACTGGCTGCTAGTGTGTGAAGGGACCAGTCTCTGACCCTCACCTGCCCCAGACAATTAACGACAACAGTGACAAGAATGTGTTAGGTCTCTGTGGATTCAGAGGAGGCAGTATAGAGAATGGAGGTATGCAGACTTCAGAGTCAGGCCGGGGCCTAAATCCTGCTTTGTTTCTTCTTAGTCAGTCATCTGGGCAGGCTGACCTCTCTGAGCCTCAGTCTTCCCATCCACACACCGGGAATAATAATTCTTGCCAGGTACACTTGTGATGGAGTGCCTGGCATGGTGCCTGGCACACAGAAAGCACACAGTATAGGGTGGCAACGAGCTCTAATTTGTGTCTCAGAGCCTCTGTGCCTTCATAAGGCAAGGTAGGAGATGCAAAGTGGTAGGGAAAGAGGAATTCTGGAGCTACCCTTCCTGGCAGGTAAGTTTCCTTCTAAGTCTCCAACTTGGAAGTGCTGCAGACAAGGGCGGTATGCTGTAATGCTTGTTATTTTTTGGAACCTTCTCAGTAGAAATGTGTGACAGAAAGGAACCTGTTGGGGTGGTGAAAATCAAACCCAGTTGGCAGTGCTCACACCAAGTGGCTTCAAAGTCTAGCCTGGGATAAGACTGCCCCTTTCCAGGAGCTACTGTAGTTTTACTATCAAACACTGTAGGCTTCGCTCCTTTTTAGAAATAGCAGAAATAACCACAATGGTCACCACCTATTGAATGCCTACTGTGTGCCAGGGGTCTTCCATTCATTATCTTATTAATTAACACCATAACCTTATGAGGTGGGTATTTTTATTCCCATTGTCAGGAGAAAAAACTGAAGTTCACTGAGATTGAACAACTTACCTGAGATCACAGAGCTATAAAGTAGCAGAGGTGAGATTAAAGCTGCAGTTTACTTTACTCATGAGCCCATGTAATTAGATAGTGATATATGCCCCACCTCTGAGGTCGTATGGCCATGCCCATATTCTAGTCAATGAAACTGATGCTCAGAGAAATGAAATAACTCACCAAGAATAGATAGATGGGTGGGAAATGGTAGGGCCTGATATTGACCTTGGGAGAGTCTAGTTCCAATGTGTACATGTTCTCCATTAGACTATGCTGCCTGTTGAGGTAGATCACTGGACCCATTTCACAGATGGTAAAGCTGAGGAGCAGGGAGAAAAAGCAAAGTCTCACGGAAGGAGACTTGGCAGCGGAGGGGAAGTCCTTGAATGTGGCAGAGGTATTCTAAAGCAGGGTTGGAATTGATGTATGTCAGCTGTGGGCCTCCCAGACCAGCCCTCTTCCTAGACATTTGCAGGAAAAGTTAGAATGAAATAAATGTCAAAAGTATCCCTGAAGTAAAGGGAAGCCCACAAGCAAACTGCAGCCTGGGAGGCCCTGAGAACCCAGAGACATGTTGCGCCTGCTAGCGAGGGTATGGCCTATATGCCTCTTCTGTAGTACCACCACTTGCAAGAGCCATCGTGTTGTCCCTTCCTTGTCATCTTTCTGCATCACTATCCAGTTGTGAGTCCCTGCAAAAGTGGATGGGGCAGAAGGCAATGTGACCGGTGCCCCGTGCCCCATGCCCTGCTCCTGCTCCTGTCAAGTCCTCTGAAGGGCTGGTGGCGGGCTGGTACCAGCCAGATGGCAGGGACAGGGCAGGAGCTGCCTCTTCTGCCCAGATGTGGAGGAAGCTCACCTGGTTCAAGAGGGGCAGAGGAAAGAAACTGAGTGAAAAGCTGGCGAAATGAGGAGGGAAAGAAGGAAACTGGAGTAAAAGACATGGAGACATTGTGGCTAAGGTGGGATAACCCACTCAAGCCTCCCTTCCACCACACCAGGGCAATGTCCACATTCAGAGGACCAGGAAATCTCGCTGCACTTGAGAGGTCTGAGATAGCCTATTGATCTGCCCCCACAGACTCCTCCATGCCCACCTCCCCTGTGGTTTACAGGGTGGCCAGACCCCTCCTCCCTAGGGACCCAGAGGAGCTCACCCCAGTGTCCAAAGCAAGACACAGTACACTCTCCCTTCCTACCCTGGGGACTCCTCAGCTCTCTCCCTGTGCCCCCATATAGATCAGGCATCATCTGGCAACCTACAGTCCTTCCTTTTTTTTTTCTTTTCTTTTCATAAAAACACTTCTTGTTTGGGGCAGAAATGATGGCAAGTTTGCACTTGTCCTTCAGCCCTACACATAATTGGTGGCAGCAGGCAAAGCTGCTTCAAGAGGAGGGGTTTGTCAATGGAATGAAGGAGGGAAGTTCTAGAATGACAGGGCAGGAAGGGACCTTGGAGATCATCTGACCCAACATTTTTGCGACCTGCATACCATTCCCATGATCTATGTGCTCCCATCCCAACCATCGTCCTCCCTGGCATGCAGAGAGGTTTCCTAGCCTCCTCACCCAGGCTTCCTGAGGGCACTGCCTCCTCTCCACCACTGAACTAATCCATCACTGTTCTCTAGATGAGGACACTGAGATCCACTAAAATGTGACTTGCCCAAAGCTAATCTTTGTCCCAGGATAGAGCTGGGACAAAAACCCAAATGCTTGAGTCTGTTCTCATCCTTCTACATATCCTCTCAATCCCTAGGGAGGGAAGGGCTCAGGTCTCCCTGGGGGCTAAGGAGAGCTCTGACAAAATCTGCCTCCCACCCCAGCTAATGTGGGTTGCCAGTGTCAAAGGTCTAAGAACTGAGTTATTTTCAGGGAGATCCTGGTCACTGTCCCTTTCTACTGGGTACCCTAAGGGTTCTATGAAGTTAGCTGGGTCCCAGAGGTCTCTTCCCTGCAGAAAATTGGCTCTGAAGTCTAAGGAACTATCTGACATAGACTCGGTCAGACGGATGCCCCATACTCCAAGAAAGCTCTCCCTGCCTTTCAAGAGGTCTTTCCTCTTCCCCCTGGGCGGAAGGAGACAGGATGCAAAGCTGGTGAACGTGTCAGGAGGCAGTGTCCTATGGTTCAGAGACACTGCTCCTTTGGCATCCTTTGCCCTATTTTTTTTTTTTTTTAAATCTCATTTATCTTTCCTCAACTGCCCTTGCAGTTGGAGGGATAAAGCGTTAATGGATTGGCCAGGAGCACATCTTGAAGCTTCAAGGGCAGGTTTGGAGGAGCATGTTGTACATATCTTTGTGTCTTTGTATTTACACACATGGGCATATCTCTGTAGGTTAGCGTTTTCCCCTGTGCCAAGTGCATTAGAGTGTTTTATACGTGAGCCCAGGTCTGTTCGGGTAGCCGTATCTCAGTGAGCTACCTCCAAGGACCTGGAGCTGGCAGTTTCAGTTGGGGGATGGCTGTTTTTTTTTTTTTGTTTTTTTTTTTTGGTCCTCAATTAAAGTGGACACAGCATTAGGAATGGGGATTGAGTCCTGAGGGTGAGAGGTGTGGTGGAGTTGAGAGGGCATTAATCGGCCCGTTTTCGAGCTGCTCTGTTTTTCGAGGGCTTATGTGGCTATGTCTGTCCTGCGCGTCAGGTTATGTCAGGGGACATGCCGGGGTGCCTGTGCCATCCTGTCCGCCCCAGCCTCCCCGACACCCTGCACTCCCTTTGTCTCCTTGAGGTTTGCGTGCAAACCCGCATCGCACGGCCCTCATCGCGTGCGAGCGCAGGGGCGAACCTTAAACCCCCACCCTGCGGGGAGAGAGGACGAGCCGGAGCCGGGTGCTGTTAGGTCTGGAGCCTAGCAGGGCTTGCATTGATCCATTGATTGTGCGCGGTCTGTGCCTGACCTCCCAGCTCCCGGGGAAGCCGTCTCCATGGAGACCGGGCCCGCTCCCCCAGCGCGGGATTGTAAATTCCTGCAGGCAGCGGCCCGGCAGCCTGGGGAGGGGGCCGCCGCGCCCGAGCGCAGGGGGAGCGGCCGCCGCGCCGAGGCCCAATTTGAAAGAAAAAAGGGCACGAAAAAGGAGGTGGTGGAGGAGAAGGCGGGGGAGGAGGGAGAACACGAAAAGGAGCTAGGAGAGGAGAAAGGAGGAGGAGAAAGGCGAAGAAAAAGAGACGGAGCCTCAGAGACAGAGAAAGAGCGAGGGAGGAAGAAAGAGGCAGAAAGGGCGTGTTTCTGGCGCTGCGTTTCCCCTCCCCTTTCTCAGGTCCCTCGCTCGGGTTCTGCGCGCTCTCCCGCTGCAGCTCTCTCCGGGCGAAGCTGGAAATTGGGTGGGATTATACGGAGCAGCCCTGCCGCCGCCGATAGTACAGCCCGGCTAGGAGAGGGCGGGGGTTCCCCTCCGTCAGCGGCTCCGGACGTCCCAGCCTTGTCGCGCTCTCCGCCTCGCTCTTCCCGGCGTCGGGTCGGGAGAAGACGGCAGCATCGGGAACCTCCTGCCAGGGAGCCGCGGTCTGCGCCCCGCACCCCAGCCCCCGTCCGGGCCCCGGAGGGCGTCCCCTCCCCTCCCCCCTCCGGCGCGCGGGGGCCCGGCCCGCTTCCGCCCTCCGGGAGCTGCGAGACCGGTCCCGGCCGCCCGGCCGCGGGTAGCTCCAGCATGGGCTCGGGGCGCGTGCCTGGGCTCTGCCTGCTCGTCCTGCTGGCCCACGCCCGCGCCGCCCAGCACAGCAGAACCGTGCAAGGTAAGGAAGGAGGGGCGCGGGCCGCGGGGCTGCCGGGTCTGCGGGGCCCGAGGGCGGGGACGCGATTTCCGAGGGGCAGGGCAGGTGCTGGGAAGCATGCTGCTGTCTGGACCGGCACAGTGCACACACTCCCGGGCTGGAACCCGCCCTCTGGGCGCTGGAAGAGCTAGAGGTGGCATGGATAAGTGAGAAGTTTGGGAAGACGTGACCACGCACCTCAGAATTCTGCCTATTTCACTGCCACCCCAGCATCTTCGAAAGACTTCTTGTCCTCCAGAAGTATGAGATAGAATCTTCTCTTCTCTTAAACATTGCCAGAAACTTCAGTTGTGTTCTGGAGAGACTGGGAATGAAAACTTTTCAGTCATGCCACAGATTTCTTTCCCTCATCCCCAATCCTCATGCAAAGTTAGAAAGTTTGAAGTTATTGTTTTATCAGTAGAAAAATGTTAAAGAAAAATAGGATCTTTTATGGAAAAACCAACTCATCTCTCAGGGGACGGTAGGGGGCTAAAGAAGAGAAGAAAATTTCTGTGACTCTGGCCTTCGGCAAGAATGTTGCATTTCTGCCTCTTTGGGGGGGAAAGCTTTCCTCCTGCATGGCTTTCATTTCTTATCATGATGTTTATTTATTAAGGACTCGGGTTTCCAATTCCATTTAAATCCAGGTCAGAATTGCATTGAAATAACAAAGTAAAATTCCAGGCTGGGGAGCTCTGACAGATCCCTCTAGGAATTAAAGAGAGAGACGGGAGGCCCGCCTGCCTCCCAGGCTCATTGCTTGGCCAGTCCCGAGGCTGTGCTGGCAGAAACTAGGCTGGGGGACTATAGTTCTCTTGAGGACAGCCTCCCCTCCCCCTTGACCTCTTGCTGCACCCTTCCCCCATGGTGTCCTCACCCAGGAAAAGATTTATATGGACAAAATGAAAATTCCCTCTGACAAAGCTTTGCCCAGGAGGATGTGATTCTTCTGCCTGTTATCCCAGAGCTCCTGAAACCAAGCTGGGTGTGAAGGTGGCTGGGCCAAAAGGGAAAGTTGAACTTGGGAGTTGGGGAAGACTGAGTCTCTGGTAGTCAGGTAGGTCACTGTGTCCTGGAGCCTGAGCACTTGGCTCATAAGCTACTCTTTGTACTGGATGGGCTCCCACTCTCTTAAAAGGAAGGTACTCTATCAGTGCCATCCTCTTCTCCCAAAACACTGCCTCTTCAACTACCCCCCTCCTTCTCCAACCTGTCCTTTAAGAGAGCTAAAATGCGAGACCCTCATCTGTCAAATACCAGACCCCACCCCAAACCTTTCCGACCCCAAACTGCTGCTGTTCCAGCCTGGTTCCAGACGGCCCACTGTCACCCGCCCCCCCCCCCCAAGCCTGGGAGCTGCCCCTCTCCTACTGTGGATTTGCTTGTGTTTTCATAAACAAAGCTGGCTTTTGTAGTGCACGCTGACTTACTCATAACATGGAATTAGCTAGGGAGTTTAGTCTGAAGGAAGAAACAGATTTCATGCAGTAATCTAGAGACAAGATAAGGGCCTCTTTCAAGTTGGAGCCAGTGTCTGTAGTGGCCTAATAAGACTGGGGGGCTGGGGGAAAGTTGGGGCAGCAAGCAATACCTTCATTAAACTGGTTCCTGGGACAGATGGAAACTCCTAGAAGGGACAGGTGCCATCAAGCCAAGGCTTTCTAGCCAGTGAGATCAGCCCATCACTCAGGGGCAGGACTCAGAATCCCTCAGAGGTACCCCAAGGCTTGCTCTGTCATGGGACCCTGCTGGGTGCTGTGGGAAATGCAGCCAGAGCAGAGGCCCCTGCCCTCGAGGAACTTACAGAATAATAGTTTTGTCCTCCGCTTATCTCATATTTGGGCCACGCTTGCTCTAACTGGGCTGTAGTTCACTTTGCTTCTTCCTTCCTACTGATCCCAAGTCTAGCTGGGCATAGTATTGCAGCCCGTCATTTCAGCTATCTTTGACCCAGATATTCAGGAAATTTATCAGTCTAGTCTGCCAGGGATTTCTAAACAACAGGTTTGTTGAGTTAGAGGGATATCTCTGGACCCAAATCTGCAGGCCAGTGCCCCAGGAAGGACAAGTGCTGACTGAGCCGGGCAGCCTTACCCATAGACAGACAGAATGCTGTGGACACCCCTTGTTCCCAAACATGTCTCCTCGGTCTCACCAGTTCCATAAAGTGTCCCTTCAGTGCCACATGCTTGTAAATGAAGCTCTAGCAGGTCTTGAAAATACAAATACCCTTGGCAAGTATCCCTCACTGTTACTATATCTCCGGGACATCTGGATTTTTGTCCCTTTTCTCCAGAGATTTGGGGGGGCAGGCAGGGGGTGGGGAACCAAACTGGTATGGAATTAGGAAGAGGGGAGGGGCAGGGGAGGGAACCTGAGGGTGCAGGTGAGTGTGTGTGGGGGGTTTGGTGAAGCTCACAAGGATCACCCACGGATGACAAACCTGGGTATCTGTATAAATTGTGACTTAGTTGTTAAGCGTGAATACGGATGTTTTAGTGTTTTTGAGAACTGTGTGTGGATGAGGGTAAGTAAGCTCTGTGACTGGGGTGAGTGAGCATGAGGGTACACGGTTTTGAGTGTTTTTCAAGTGCCTGTCTGAGTATTTTAAAGTAGACAGACTGGATAACCAAGATAATTGTTAACCTAAAAGCATTAATTTGCTTTTTTTGGGGGGGGGGGCAGTGCAGCAGTGGTTAAAAAGGCCTAATCCTGGTGTAAGGCTCAAGTTACAGCTGAATGAGAAGGTCTCCTGGCCTCAGGGAAAACTTGTCCCCTGGAGGGGCTCAGGGAGGGAGAGCCAGCCTGGCTGTTCAGTTCACCTGGTTGTTTTACTCTCCTCATTAGAGATAGAATTTTGATAAAGTCATGTTTTAGAATTCCCAAGTAACTCCATCCCTGGGACTGAGAGCGTTCATCTGGCGGCAAACAGTGTCTCTCTGTCTCGGTGCGTCTCTCCGGGTCTCTGTCTGGGTGTATGTGTGTCTCTCGCTTTCTTCCCCCCACCCTTTCTTCCTCTTTAATGTGGCTGTTTCCTCTCCTCCTGGCTTCCCCAGGCTCCTGTGGCCAACCCTTACAGTGAGGGGACTGTTCCTCCTAACCCCTCCCTCCAAAATATGAAATGAAAACCATAACCGTGTCAGCGGGTGAGGGTGGCCCCGTGGGCAGCTGGCTAATGCCCGTGCCCCATCCAGGCCACACTGGGGAGAAAGTCAGTCCCCACTCTTGGAGCCTGGTCTTCCATCTAAGCACCCCCCTCCTTTTCCAGAGGGTAGAGAGGGGCTGGACTGCTTGGAAATTCCTCAGGAATCCCTTTGACCTCTCTTCTCTCAGTGACATGTCCCCTGGGGGTGGGGTTGGAGAACTTTTCCACTTCTTACCCCTCATCTCCCCAAGTCTCTGCAGGGTGGAATAAGAGAGAGGGGAGTGGAAGACACAGGAGCCAGAATTACGACAGGCAGAGAAAGAAGAAAGTTATCAGCAACCCCTAAATGAGACTTTTCTGAAACCTTCAGGAATCCGAGAGCCTAAGAACCGGTTTGAGATGTGAGTGGCTGGGACCTGTCGTAAAAGGAGCCAGCCCTGGGTGTGAGTTTGAGAATGTGAGGTGAGGTGCGCATTCACTGAGTTGTGTGGGCGTGTGTGTGCACGATTCGGTGTGTGTGCATGCGCGTGCTTGCGTGTGTGCCTGTGTGTGTGCGCCCAGCACTCCTGTGAGAGGAAAAAGGAAGCGAGGCAGTGTGCGTTTTGTTTTCATTGGAGAAGTGAAGAAGGGGAATGGCTTGGTCCAGTGCCTTGAACTGGAGTGGGGGAAGGGAGCTGATGGCTTTAGACCCTCTTGAGAAGATGGAAGTGGAGGAGTTGCTGCCTAAACTCCCCCCAGTCTCTGCCCCTGGTTCTGGTCCCCTCATGCCAGGGTGTGGGCCTCCTTTGATGTCCTGTACCCCTAGCACATGACTGCTTATAAGAAAGAGTCCCTGTCGGGGCTGGAAACTGCAGAGCTGCTCTGAGGCTGGCAGTGCCCGCAAGAGGCCCAGACCTGGGGACAACTTCTGTAGGCTCAGCTCTAAGACAGGAGTCTGGAAAGAGAGAGACTGCTGGTCTTGGGGGGGCAAGTGATACCACTGTTAACCCAGGGATGTCTGAGGGGTAGAGGAGCTAATCACCTGGGATCAGAGGGGACATGGACCCTCAGCCTCTCCCCAGTGGCCCCTCTGTCACCAGACTGGCCTCTCTCCTCCTCCTGTGCCCACATGTTGCCAGCCCCAAGCGGCACAGGGTAGGGAGTATGGTGCCACTTGGTTTATGTAGATAAGAGCCTAAAGATTGGGGCTTCTGAGGAAATAATTGAACTTCTCTTCCTCATTTGTGAAGTGGACTAGAGTATCAGTAGGGTCCCTTCAGCGCTGAGGTTCTGCACATCCTTCCCACTGAAGGCGGAAGGCAGAAGCGAGCCTCCGCCCGGCAGCCGCCTCCCCAGGCTCCTCTCCCGAACCTCTGGCCCTCTTCTTCCCGGGCCCTGCCCCACTGCCCCCTGCCCGAGTCTGCATCGCTTAGCTGTTCTTCCTCTCTTCCCCCACCCCGTTGTCCTGGGGCTCCGAGTACCTGATAGTTCTTCCTCTGTCCTTAGGTGGGGTGTTTTCTCTTGGAAGTAGCCTCTGCAGAACAGGTGTTTCTGTATATGGATGCGTGTGCATCCAACAACGCTGGGAAATGGAGCTTAAGTGTTTGTGTTCCAGGAACTGAATATTCCTGATGAGGTCCCAGGGCCCCCATCCCTGCTCTCCTACCATGTATTCCCAGCTCTAAGACTAGCCCTCTGCATTCTGCTCCAACTTAGATGTCTCGCTTTTTCAGACCAAGGCGCTGTTTTGTAGTTGCCATTGGATGCTTCAGTTTAGCCCCACAGGCGGGATGATGGCTCAACAGGGCACTGTGGCTCTCACTCTTACCTGCAGTTTCCCTGTGGCTGTAACCAT